AAATGGCATAAACTTTCATTGTGCGACGAACACTTTCATTTTCATCCAATAAAAATGTGACAGAACCCATTGGCCCACTAGGAGCAGATGTGCGGTCGAACCGGACGGCTGAAATGAAATCCAGACTTTATAATACAGCTAAGAACATAGTCCACAGCTGCAAAATTAGGATTTGCTCCGGAAAAATATAAATAGACCACTACAGCAAAGGTTCACAACCACTGTGTTTGAACACTTTCGTGCACATAATTTGCAAAAACGGAGGAGGTAGCCACTCAAAAAAGCAGACGCAAAGTTTTACACTCGAGTAGCCGAATAAAATAACGATAGCGTTAATACTCAACAGATGACTTCGGACTGAAAAATATCGGCAGCTAAAATCAAACCTTTTTATCAGAATTACAGGGGCACATATAAATCTGCGCGAAAGTACTGATTTTGATGTTAAAACATATGGGTGTCAAAAGTTGGAATTTTTGATTTCTGCTCTCATGCGTAATACCTGTGTCGCGGGACGGAGGACCGATAAAGGTTTGTGCTTCCCACGCTAAGTTCTCAAGTATCCTCGTAAGAATGCAGTGTTTGCCATCGAGATACTTCGAAAGCTCATGAAACCATAATTCCTCCATGAAGCGTGGTTTGGTAAAAGCTTCTTGCGGTTTGTAGACTAATGCTGTTTTGTCTTACTCGAGGATTGGTCCTAAGACGGAAAACTAGTGTTGGCACTGATGCTCACAACTTACAGGAACTACATAAGCGTAAATATAGTGGATTTTAGTTAATGGCTGGGCGTGGTGTCCGAAGTCCATAGGCATATATCGGAGCCGACCTGCGCCAAAGCTGCTGCTCTCAGTCCCCTCCCAAAGTACCCCATGCTCACTTCCACATAATCCGTTCCTGTTTTGTCTGCCATATCAATAGCGCCACCAGGCGTGTCCTTCGTTCGCAATCTCAAAGAATGACCGATCGGCGTGACTCGAAATCGCACACAACCTAGATATGCCAATTTACTTGAGGTTCAGTCAATAGAACGTCCCACCTTTTGCGTGGAACGTAGACCCCTTCTTAACCTTGTGTTCTTCAATTTGAACCTTGGACAATAAGCAATCTAATGAACAGAAACTAATAATAATAATAATAATAATAATAATAATAATAATAATAAACGAAACACAGTAGTATGTAAACAAAACTTGTTCCTGTTCATCAACACTTAGTCAGAGTAAACGCAGACCGGAGTAACTGGGGCCTACTGTATATTCGAACTCAGACTGAAAGACAGCAGCACGACAATTTCGTAGCCAAAGACAATGTAAAAAGCTAATACAAATACACTTACTGTGCAAAGCCAAAACGTCTGGTCTTTTACTGGATCAGCGGACCTCAGAAGAAGTGGCATCTCTGATTCGGGCTGAGATAGTCTCCTTTCAAGGAAGTTACCGAAAGAGTTCTGTGCGTAATGACCGGTTGCAAACGCGTCCGCATCAACAGAAGTTACGCCCGGAGAGTCACTTGAAAATGCGGAACGTATCTCCGGTTTGAGCGTTGTTTTTGCAAGCATTTGAAACTTGACAAGGCGATTGCATAAAATGTCGGGATTCGGCGTAAGTCCACGGGTATACGCATCAACTAAAGGCCTAGTGACACCTTATGAGCGTTTGAGACATCGTACATGAAAACCCTCTGCCAGTACTCCTTCACGAAGTTTAATTCACAGAACTCTATGCCTAGCTTGTGGCAGACGAACTTGGCATCTTCCCTGTCAACATCTGATGAGCAGTGCATTGTCTCATCACTTTGGTCCCAGTTTCTCATAAACACACCAACAACTTTGAAGCCTACAAATAAGTCAGGTATGCAAAAAATACCCCGCTGCTTGAGCAAAAATGCCGAAACAGCACTGTCAACCCCACCAGAAACTGCACATGCTACACGGGACACCGGTAAGCGAAAAGCCTTCATCCCGAGCACGTACGAGCACGTAAAGGCAAATTTGTGTCCTAATGGGCCAACACCGCCGCGCGGTAACACTGTGTTTTAGTGTACGACGACTATACGTGAATTATGCGGTGGGTAAATCAAACTGTGCCGAAAAGTTAAAAAAAATCAGATGCATCAAATGTCAAAGAATTAGCATTAACAATGTCAGCAGCGCATGGAGTACGGTTTTTTGCGACGGTTTTTGAAAATGGGACCTATATTCCATGTGCTTCGATTAGCCTTTATCGTCCAGC